CAATGTTTCGTAGGTCCCCGGGTGTTCCTGCCCCGTCCAGTCCAGCCTTTTGGGCAGCAGCTGGGGTGGAAACACAGTGTGGACCGTGAACATCCAGCTCATCATTAACAGTGATGTTTTTGAGCAGTAAATGATAAATCCGAGTAACAACATCACAGTTACAGTGCAGAGAAGCATCTCTCCAGTAGTACTGACTGCTTACCTCCTTCTCCTCCACCTCCCTTATCAGGGTCTGAAAATAGGATAGAAATGCAAAATGACTCCTCGTGACAATCTCTGACATGTTCTAAATTACCCTAAAATACAAAAACACCAACCTCGGCTGCTTTTTGACACGGTCCAGCTTGTAGAAATCGGGCTATTAGGAAGTACAGTTCTGGTTTGGTTGGAGGGGGAGAAGAGGACGGGAGCTGCGTTAGAAGAGGGCACCGAGGAAATTTGGGGGATATTACAACAACCGTGACATATTTCCGTTCTCCTTTACTCACCAGAAGTCAACTGCGCCGTGTGTGTACTGTCTGAAGCCATTTTGGGGTTGTTTGGCAGGGCAGCGGCAGAGCTGGGTCTGTAGGTAGCTGCCCTGTAGCTGTCACTGTTTATCCACCAGGAAGAGGCAGTCTCCATTTAGCCTCGCTCACACAGAGTCCCGCCTGCTTGCAGTATCCCTCCGCCGAGCTGCAGCTAGCGCGCGCAGCCCGAATTAAGCCGGAAAACGAACTATTTTCTGTGGCAAATGACGAAAAGCTAAATTATTAATGCATACAATGAGTCTGAAAGCAAATTTCATTCGCGGTCGCTTTGCTGTGGGGACACGTTCAAGTAAACCCCCCTCCCCCCTCAAAAGAAAAAACCAAAGCGCAAACCCTCCGCGGAAGCATACAGACAGCGTGTCTCGCGCACGTCTCTGTCGAAAGAAGGAAGAAATGGCAGCCTGTAAAAGCAGAGGACACATTGCGGTAGCATGGCTAATATTTAGTAGTTAGCGTGCGTTTCACAAATAACGCCGTAATACTTTTGACATTAAACTATTTTTGTGGGTTACTCTAGTGTAAATCCTGCCCATTTAATCGACAGTCCTTTTTGTGTCCGCGGATGTAGACTGACGAGAGAGAGGATGGATAGGGGTTTACATTGGATAACGTAACCCCTTTTCATCGGTGTTTAGCTTTATAATGTTGGTCTGGTTAATACTTAGCTTCTCGTCTTGTTACGTAGTTTGTTGTAACACGAATTGTAACAAACACACCCACTCGCTGGGGAAGTCGTCCATTTCTCTTCCAAATATTGCACGGCTGTAAAATGGGGGAAGGGTTGGAAAAAAGGGGGAATGCAGCTTAATGAATGAAAGCCAGCAATTTAATGACAATGGAGGCTTAATAGAGGACTGGCCATGGTGGGAGGCTATGGAAAAATTGGTTAAAACACACACACACATACAAAGGCAGGCTCTGTAATGACCAGATAGGATTTTTAATGATTGTTATGTTGTTTTTGCAGAGTTTATTTGTCACATTTATTAAAGAGCAGTTCACTAAAAATAGTTATCCTTTTAGTGGTCATTAAAATTCTCAGATTTTTTTTAGCTAAATTATAACATCCAGTAGATAATATAAAACAGTTCTTCACCGTCTGCGTTTTATAACAACCTAAAACTACTAGTCAGCGTGTCTTAAAAAAACACTCAAATACACATTTTTCCTAACTTATTATTGTTATGTTATCTGCACATTTTAAAGAGATGCTCAAATCTACCAAAATAATGAAACATAATAAAGAAAGCTTGGCTATAGTGCAGTGGTGGACGTTTTTCTAATGCTTATTGGATCAATCAAATTTGTTTTTACAATTGTGACTATTTATCAAAAGTAAATCTGCAAAAAGCGTCACTAATTCGATGTTAGTAGTAAGATGGATGGTAACAAGATGTCGGTCAAATTGTATTTCTTAATAACTTTTCATGATTAAATCAGCACAAAAGACTTTCTTACTAAAAATAAAACATACAAGTTAGAAACACAACCTAAATTTAAAAATACTCACTTTTCATGCCCTCAAAGTGCTCACGCACACTCACATAGAGCGAATAGACGTTCCCCATGGCAAAAGTATATAAAAGACTTCATAAACATGCTTGAGTAAAATATGGCGACACAAACATAAGAGGAATTTCTTTTTTTTTTTACAATGAATGTATCAATAAAGATTCAGCTAAAACTAATAAAATACATTAATTAAAAGCTAAGCTAAAAAGGTAGGTAGTTTCTTTAATGCCATCTATTTAATTTTTCATTATGTATTTTAAATTGCGATCAATCAGTAAATGTTTGCCCAAGTCCAGCTCAGTTCCTTGCATGGGCACCAGGGAATTAACAGTCATGTTTTTTAGACTTTATGTTGGAAATATTAAAATAAATGGCATGTAGCTCAGCGCAGCAGGCCTCTTTTAGAGCAGTGGTTCCCAAAGTTGTGGATCGTAACGTGGATCACTGTAAATCTAATACAACTGAAAATGTTGTCATTTCATTTTTATTATGCAATCATTCATTTATTTATTGTTGGTTTAACCAACCAGGGTCTTTGCTGTTGCAGAAGCTGAAAAGGTTTAGTGAGAGAGTATAAATATAAAGTCATGTGTCCGTTGATGTTTGCCACCTTTCTAACTGGTTACCTGCATAGAGATGTGTAGTTACCGTCCAGCCCACTCCAGTCCTCGTCTCTACCTCTGTTTTTACTTGGTTCTGTTCTTTGTCTACTGCGATCATGTGTTTAGCTCAGCTATTATGGACGCCCGTGTATTTTTTGTTAGTTTAATCTCTTGAGTTTTTGCAATTCTTTTGTCGGTTTTCTAGTTTATTTATTTACCGTTTCACTGGTCGTAGTTTCTGCAGAAGCTTTTGCTCATCTGTTCTTCACCTGCTAACCTATAGTCCTCCTTGTATCAGTTTCTTCAATCAGTGCCGGATCATGCTGGGTTTTTTATTTGCTCACATGTTCATTTCATGTTTGTATTTGTACTTTTCTTGTTGCCATGTCAGCCATCTATCCATCGATCCATTATCCAGTTATCCGGGGTCAGGTTATGGGGAACCTAAGCAGAGAAGCCCAGACTTTACCCTACCCAGCCACTTGGGCCAGCAACCGCCAGGGGAATCCCAAGGCACCTGGCTAACTGAGAAACATAGGCCTTCCAGCGTGTCCTGTGTCTTCCCTTGGGTCTCCTCCCAGTTGGACGAGCCTGGAAAACCTCACCAGGGAGGTGTCCACAAGGCATCCTAACCAGATGCCTGAGCCACCTCAACTGGCTCCTCTCAATGTAAAGGAGAAGCGAATCTACTCTGAGCCCCTCCCAGATGGCCGAGCTTCTTACCTTTCCTCGTGAAAGTAGGATTCGAAGTTTGCTGAATTTACAGCCACTTCATCTCTGCTCTTCTTTGTGTCTGGTTTGATGAAGTAAATTTGGTGAGGCACACTTGTAGTCCTGGACTTATTTTCATTCAAAACCTAAAATAACCTTTGCCCCCGTTAGAAAATAAGCGCTTTCTTAGTATCAAAATGTGTCTTTAAAATATGTGAAATCCATTTCACATAGCAAAGGCGATTAGAAAATGGCTTTTTTTTTTCTTCCAGGGACCCATGGTTCGGAAGCAGATGGTCATGACTTAGGCTCCCTACAGGTGAGGGTAGGAACGTAGATCGACGGTAAATCCAGAACTTTGCCTTTCGGCCCAGCTCTCTCTTCATCATGACAGACTGATAAACGCCTGCATCACTGTAGACGCAGCACCAATCCACTTATTAATCTCACGCTCCAGCTTTCCCTGACTTGAGAAGATCACCCCGAGATACTTGAACTCCTCCACTTGAGGCTGGACCTCATCCCTGACCCAGATAAGGCGTTTTACCCTTTTCCGACTGAAGACCATGGTCTCGGATTTAGAGGAGCGTATTCTCATCCCAGCTGTTTCACACTCGGCGGTGAACCACCCCAGCGAAAGCTGGAGATCACGGTCTGATGAACCCAACAGGACCACTTCATCTGCAAAAAGCAGAGACCTGATCCTTAGGCCACCAAAATGGATCTCCTCAACACCTTTGCAGCACCTAGAATGCCTGTTCATTAAAGTTATGAACAGAATCCATGGCAAAGGGCAGCCTCAGTGGAGTCCAACTCTCACAGTAAACAAGCCTGATTTACTGCCAGGAATGCGGACCACGCTCTGACACCGGTCATACAGGGTCAAACGACCCGTAATAAAGGGCCTGGTACCACCACCCCAGTCTGCCAGCCCAGTGGACCTGCCCCCGATATCCACTTGATATTGCAGGGCTGGGCAACCAACACAGCTCTACAGCATCAAGAGCCTTAAGGAACTCTGGGCAGATCTCTGGAAGAGCTTTTTGACCGCCTCAGTGACCTCAGCATCAGAGATTGGAAAGTCCCATACTCTCTTCAGCTTGGCAGCATCCCTAACCACTGCTGTCCACCAGCTAAGGGAGAGCCTAGACGCTCTACATTAATCATGTTATTAATAAATGTTAATCTTCAGCCCAGTTCTCTGTTGTTTAGCATTTGGCTCTTTTTATAATTTTTTCATGATAAAAATGCTGCAAAAATAAAACCGCTGGCATTGAGCATCATCCGCTACAAACAGGTTTGTATCATAAAACAAAGTGTTATGAATGGCATCCTAACATTTATTTGCTCTACTGTAACTAAACCCTGTGTGATCTTTTTTATTCACTTTCTTTCATCTGTGAGAAAATTCCCATGCAGGCAGAACCTTCAAACACATTAGATCTGACCTTTGTGTGTAAACAGGAGGAAAGATCTTTTATATAGCGCGTCTCAAGATAAAAATCACGAGGTGCTTCACAAGAACAAAACAATTCAAATGTATATAAAGATTTTTAACCCTACCACTGTCTTTATGAGAGACCCCGTGAGGAAAGTTGACCATTGAGCAGGATTGGTGGTTTATCCCTTGAGGTCCACGAGGCAGGGGTGAGGTGGTGCTCACTCCTCACCCCTGCCATATGGACCCAAGGGATAAACCATCAACCCTGCTCAGTGGTCAACTTTCCTCACGGGGTCACACCCGTTAGGACAGTGGGAGGGTTAAAAGCTATGGTTAAAATGAGAAAAAAATGGTGATTAAAATGTAAGGAAAGGGAAAAGCAAGAGAGGGAAATCAGTGGATCCTGGGAAAGGCGGAGTTGGTAGAAAGAGCAAAATGAGGAGAGGGTGGTGATGAAGGTCACGCCAGCTTGAACAAGTGAGTCAGATGGCAAAAAAAAAGTCCCTATGAATAAACTCAGCTAAGATTTACCAAAGCTTAGCTAATACAACCTCATGAGTAGAAGCAGCTCTACAGAAATGAAACTATTTATAATGCAAAGATAAAATCTATTAAAGGTCATAAAGCTGGTTGATTACTTGCTTTGGTATTAAAAAAAAATACAAAATAAATGTTCTTAAGTTTCTTTAATGAACCAAACTGGATTTGTTTCAATACACCTTTACTAAGTATCTTTGTTTATTAACCCGCAAGGCTTGGTTCTCCCTGAAGCTATGAGCCAATCTCATATTCCTCCTTAATCGAATAAATAGGAGTTATAAAAGAAAGTTTTAAGATCACTCCTGTTGAGTTTTAGTGGGCTGACACGACCACAAGGAGGCAACCTCGGCCGATCACAACCCCACAAGAGTCAAAGGTTAAAGATGAACTATTAACAAACATTTTAACATTCTTTTCTCAGGTAGAAGTAGAGATACTAGGGTTCTAAAAAACTTCTGTAAGAAGTACCGATTCAAGGTTTTTACTCAAGTTAATGTATCCGAGTACTGGTTTCAAACCTACTTCTAGTATAAAAATAAATTGACTAAGTTTAAAAGAAAAACCCCAATAAGGAGACAGCTAAGCCGCTAAAGTCCTTAATGGTTAATGTTATATAAAGATGTATGTGGACTAACGTGGGAGACACCATTTCACACATTGAAAGTTTTCATTTTTGGATTTTAGTTTAATGAAATAACAAAGAATCAAATAAGGATAGTAAAAACCAATAGGGTGTCACAAATATTACCCAACCACAATCAAATTCACTCTACCCAGATGGTCGAAGTTACCCCTGTGTTTCTGGTCTGTGGTTTTAATAAGACAAAATTATATTTGCATATCAAGGCTATTTTTATACTGTAGACAAGAAAGAGGACTGCATGAATATGTAAGTAGTGTTAAAAAGTTGGATAGTGAAGTACCTAAAAAGTTAAAGTGTTTGTACTTTTTTTATTTGGCACCTTTTTTTAACAGTGCATCCAGAAAGTATTCACAGCACTTCACTTATTCCACTTTTGTTTAGGTGACAGCCTCATTCCAAAACGGGTTAAATTCATTAAAATTCTACACACAACACCCCATAATGATAATGTGAAAAGAGTGTCCTTGAAGTTGTTGCAAATGGATTAAAAATAAAAAAAAAACTTGAGAAATCACGTGAGCATAAGTATTCACAGCCTTTGCTCAGTACTTTGTTGATGCACCTTTGGCAGCAATTACAGCCTCAAGTCGTTTTTAGTACGATGCCACAAGCTTGGCACACCTGTCTTTGGCCAGTTTTGCCCATTTCCCTTTACCTCTCGAGCTCCATCAGGTTGGATGGAAAGCGTTGGTGCACAGCCATTTTCAGATCCCTCCAGAGAAGTTCAATGGGGTTCTGGATGGGCCACTGACGGACATTCACCGAGTTGTTCTGTAGCCACTCCTTCGATATTTTGGCTGTGTGCTCGGGGTCATTGTCCCAGTCTGAGGTTAAGAGAGCTTTGGAGCAGGTTCTCATCCAGGATGTCTCTACATTGTTGCAGTCAGCATTCCCTCTGTCCTGACTAGTCTTCCAGTTCCTGCCGCTGAAACACATCCCCACAGCATGATGCTGCCACCACCATGCTTCTCTGTAGGGATGGTATTAGCCTGGTGATGAGTGGTGCCTGATTTTCTCCGAATGTGGCGTTCACTCCAAATAATTCAATTTTTGTCTCAGATCAGAGGATTTTGTTCCTCATGGTTTGAGAGTCCCTAAGGTGCCTTTTAGCAAACTCCAGGAGGGCTGTCATGTGCCTTTTACTATGGAGAGGCTTCCATCTGGCCACTGTGCAGGTCTGATTGGTGGATTGCTGCAGAGGTGGCTGTCCTTCTGGAAGGTTCTCCTCTCTCCACAGAGGACCACTGGAGCTCTGACAAGGTGACCATCGGGTTATTCTTACCTCCCTGACCAAAGGCCCTCCTCCCCGGTTCACTCAGCTTAGAAGGCCGGCCAGCTCTAGGAAAAGTCTTGGTGGTTCCAAATTTCTTCCACTTACAGATGATGGAGGCCACTGTGCTCATAGGAACCTTTAAAGCAGCAGAAATGTGTTTTGTAACCTTCCCTTGTGCCTCAGGACAATCCAATCTCAAAGGTCTACACTCAATTCCTTTGTCTTCATGCTAGGTTTGTGCTTTGACATGCACCGTCAACCCTGGGGACCTTATATAGACAGGTGTGTGCCTTTCCAAATCATGCCCAATCCACTTAATTTACCACAGGTGGACTCCAATTAATCTGCTGAAACACCTCAAGGATGATCAGTGGAAACAGAACGCACCTCAGCTCAATTCCGAGCTTCACGTCAAAGGCTGCGAATACTTATGCACATGTGATTTCTCAAGTTATTTTTAATTTTTAATAAATTTGCAACAACTTCAAAGATGCAATTTTCACATGATCATGATTATTATTATAATTTTATGGGCAAAATGAATTTAATCCATTTTGGAATGAGGCTGTAGCATAAAGAAAAAGTGGAATAAGTGAAACGCCATGAATACTTTCCCGATGCACTGTAGTTACATCATAAATCAAACTGTTTATTAAAGGTGACATTACGCTTTAAGAGTATTTCTGGTGCTGTAATGATATCATGTGGGGTATTTAGCTCATTAAAGCTATCGGTTTTATGACTGCAGAGATTTGAGAGGAACATTGTTGAGTTTTCAGAAATCACCACCTTCATGCGCCAAACTGCCGTAGCTGTTGGTTCGTGGGTTTGAGCGACAGATAAAAAGGCCGAATAGTTTCACGGGTCCCACCAGTCCTGCAAATGCTGACCTTTCACTTCCTGACACAGCAGTTGTATTTAACACAGCCACGTGCCCCCCGCCCCCCCCCACTCCTACCTCACACACACACACACACTAAAGTGTAAAAATGAACACACTGAAAACAACAGTAACACTAGGAAAAAATACACTCCAGCATGACATGAGGTTTTTGTTTTATTTCAAAATATTCTAACAGGATGAAACTAAAAATAAAAAATAAAAAAATAAAAGCCCAGAGGGTCAGAAGCCAATAGAGCCATCTAGAACAGAAGCACCACTCATTATTGCTGTCACTCTGCTGCAGGACACGGCGTTTAGAAAGAGGTTTAAAAAAAAAGTCAAACACGGAGACACACAAACTCCAGCACACACGCATTCAAAGGGAGCTATGTGGTGGTTCTCCAGAGCTGCAGGTGTTCCTCGCCTGTGGAACCGGTCTCCTCAGCGCTCTGCACGGCAACACGCTCACAAACCTTCACCTTACCCATCAGGGGGAGAAACTGGAGCATCTTCTCATTACAGGAGGAATGCTGAGCGCCGTTTTATTGAGAAGGGTGATTAAAAATAAAAGGGCAGAGCTGGTTTAAGGATGTAACAGTGCAGCTTCCTGGTGAAACCCACTTCATTGTGCCTTTTGGCTTCTACTGAACTCTATAGCAACACAGAATGGAGGAGAGAGGGAGGAGGGTCAAGCAAAAGGTTACAGGAGTGTGAGGATGTGTTCAGGGCTGCAGGTCGTTTGTCTCTACTATCACAAGTCTAATAAAAGAAGAAGAAAAAACTAGCATGGTACAAAAATCATCAGTAAAAAAAGATGCTTTGCTGCCATGGAGCTGGAGAGGACGAGCAGGTGGACAAGTCTTCACGCCTTCTCCTCAGTCGCTTCCTCTGCTGCTTCAGTTTCCTGACAGGAAAAATAAAATGGTGAAAAACAAGAATACAGGTGTCTATCAGTCTGGGACACCACACTTTTAGGTTACTCAGTTAAAAACAGTAAAATCACAAATATCTGAGTCAATATTGAAATCAGGAAACCTTTTATTTCCCTGAGGGGCAACTTGTCAAAATAAGAGCATCAAGAGATGTCCAGTGCTCTAGATCACTTATTATGACCTGTGTTCACTTAAACTGTGTCCCAACCTTTTATGGTTATAGATTTGGATTAAATACTCTAAGAAATATACATTTTAATAACCACTAAAGCTTTTAAAACGGAGGTTTTCAGATTATTGAATCCAAATATCAAGATCCAAGTCATTTTAAAGGGACTGCATTTACTAGATTGTGTCCATGGCGGACAGAATGCTGCATAGCACCTAACAGAGAAAAGCTGCCCCTCAAGCCTAAATGCCCAAGCAGGAACTAAGTGTGCATCAAAAAACATATTTTCTTAGATGCATTGAGAACGTGCTCTTTTTCTAGCTCTAATGATTTTAAAAATCCCACCATGAGACGCGTGCATGTTAAACATATGGACCGGGCAGGAGTGTGTGCCATTTGGGGCTTGCCTGCAAAGCAGAATGTAACAAATATCCCAGCTGCAATGTTTTAGAGATCATTAGGAGATAAAATCTCTTATGTTCAATTTGCTAAAAAAAAAAAAAAAAAAAAAAAAATCTGATTTTGGATGTTTTTAACTGTTTAACAATCCACAATTGTAAATAACATGTCAACTTTTTAAATGTTGGTTTACCTTTATGGTCAAATTGAACATAATATTTCCTGCAAAAAAAGCCATATTTGAATGTGTAACTAGTATAAGTAACAGCTGATCCTATAAAGTTTAACTTTTAACCTTGTAGGAGTATTTACTGAGCAGCAAAGTGAGGAGCAATGTGTATCCCTGCCAGTCACGATTAACTAACTTTTCTTTAATTCTAACATTTAAAAAAAAATGCAAAAAAAACCCCAACATGGTTTTATAAATACATGAAAGTGATTGCCCATTCATTGGTTTCTGAGCAAAAAAGGTAAAAACATTTGTTAACTGTTTTAGTTAGCTTTCTGGATGACCTCAGTTTAGAGAAATGGCTTTTCAGACCTTCAAGACTGATGTGCTAACCACTAGTGTGAGTGCAGCAAAGACCAAAACGTGTCTCTGAAACTATTTTCTAAACATTTATGATAACATTATTGTTTTCAGGGTTTTCTGAGGTCATTTAAAACGACAATGTGTTTATTCTCATTACGCCTATCCCTGGCGATAGGGGGCAGTACATACCTAAATCATAGCAAGCAAGCGGTATTTTTGTGTTTGAGTAAAATCATACCAACAGATGGCCATTAGGGTCAAAAATCCCTGAGAGCGCAACCTCCAGCTATGTTAATTAATGGCAAAAGTTTTCTAACCATTTGTTACAAATCAGTAAATATATTTTGTCCTCACGGGCTCCCGTAGAAGGAAACATGGCCTCTAATATGACATTGCAAAGAGATTTATGGGCCATTTCCATCTGTACCGGGTCAGCCCGGGCCGGGTAGCGTAGGTTGTTTACATATCTGGGTGGCCTGGTATTTTTCCGGGCCAACCAAGGCTCATTCTCAGCCCTCTTCTCGAGGGGGTCTGCTTCAGGCCGACCAGGGCCAACACACCCACTGCTGACAGCAAACTCACACCTTCCATTAGAGAAAGCCTCTGATTGGTGGGTAGAATCAGCCCACATGGGCTTAAGACAAGGATGTGTGGAATCAACCGGGCCAGGCTGGGGCCGACTGGGGCTACCCGGCCCGGGCCGACCCGGTACAGATGGCAATGGCCCATTAGTGTCATGTTTTGCGTTCCCCTCATGTGTCCCCTTGTGGTCTGTGTGGTCCCCCCCCCCCCCCCCCCACAATAGTCTACCACGTCTCCTGGTCATGGCAGCGCTACCTCCTCATCTCGGGTAGGCTGCCATGTCACATCACCCTCTGGTCCCATCAGCGCCACCTCTTCACCTCTGGTGGGCTGGTCCTCATCACCGCCTGGTTCAGACAATTCCACCTCTTCATATCCGGCAGCCCAGCCCCCCACCTCACAATAGCCAAGGGTCCAGGTTTCCCCTCCAGATCAGCGTTGCTGGAGAGACGCAGTTCCTCCTGACGCCACCTCCAGTCTTCTGGTGGGTCAGGTTGCTAAGGGAGCTGCCCCCTCACCTCAAGGTCTGCGTTCATGGCCTGGAGTCGCCCCGGAAACCTCCTCTTCCCTCGTGGTAGGTCAGAAGACTTCCACACCACCACGACGCAGCAATCACAAACAGTCTTCTGAGGCCAGAGCTGCGCCGCCTGTCCAAGAGGCTCTTGCTCTGCAGCCTCAGCTCGAGCGCTTCCCACCAACCAATCAAGCCAACACCTCCGTTACATCTCACCTACATCGCACCCAGTTCCAGCGGTGGTCCCCGAGGTTGAACCGCATCCTCGTCTAGCGGTGATCCCATCTCAGCCTGTCCAAGAGGCTCCGGTCCGGCCTATCCAAGAGGCTCCGGTCCGGCTTGTCCTAGACACTCTGCCACCAGCCCCATCAGCGCCACGTCTGGCGCCTTCGTCTTTGCCTGCAGAGACTTCGTTTTCCCCGCCTCCAGAGTCTACATCCCCTCCTTCCAGAGTCTGCGTTTCCTCTTCCTCCAGAGTCTACGTCCCCTCTTCCTCCGGAGTCTACGTCCCTTCTTCATCCAGAGTCTACGTCCCCGCCAGAGCCTACGTCCCTTCCTCCTCCTCATCCAGAGTTTTCGTCCCTTCAGCCTCCAGTGTCTTCGTCCCCTCTGCCTCCAGGCTGGTTATTGGCAGCAGTCACCGCTGGACCGGTCCTCGCCTGTCGTCTCCTGGTTCCCCGTCGCCGGCCTCCAAGACTCCCCTGGTCCCGGCTCCTGGTTCCCCGTCGCCGGCCTCCAAGACTCCCCTGGTCCCGGCTCCTGGTCCCCCGTCGCCGGCCCCCCAGACTCTCGAGTTCCAGACTCCTGGTTCCCCGTCGCCAGCCTCCAAGACTCCCCTGGTCCCGGCTCCTGGTTCACCGTTGTCGGCCACCCAGACTCCCCTGGTCCCGGCTCCTGGTCCCCCGTCGCCGGCCCCCCAGACTCTCGAGTTCCCGACTCCTGGTTTCCCGTCTCCGGCCTCCTGTTTAGTTTGCTCCTGACCCTGTTTATTTTCTGCTCTTTTTGGGGTGTTTGTGTTTTTGGTTCCCCCTCGCCCGCCCTTGTGGGTCGTTTTATGTTTGGCCCCTCCTCTCCTCTCCCGCCCCATCCCCTCGTTCTCTGTCTTGTTCGTGTTTTTGTCTTGTGTGCGTCTGGTATCCGCCCTTGGAGGGGGGATACTGTCATGTTCTGCGTTCCCCTCATGTGTCCCCTTGTGCTCTGTGTGTCCTTATGCTTCCCCAGCCCACTCCAGGTTGTCCTCATGTGTTTCCTTGTGTTCCCCAGCCCTCTCTAGGCTTCCCTCATATTTCCTCCTAGTCACTCCCTTGCAGTTCCTATTGGTGTGTATTACTCCCCCTCACCCCTCTAGTCATTAGTTGTTTATCTTTGCCCTTTGTCTTTAGGTTTAGTTATTTAGTGTTTTATAGGTTATGGTTTATCTTCCTCTCTGCTTAAGTTCTTTCCCCATTTAGTTTATTAATGGCGCCTGTCTCCCCTCTAGACCTCACTCCTCACACCCGTCACCTGTTCCCCTGCTTGCTTCCCTCTGTGTTTATAAACCCTGTCTTGTCCCTCAGTGTTTGCTGGTCCATTGTCTTTGTCAGCATTGTTCTGTCCTCCTCAGGAACTCCAGGTTCTTGCTCATGAATGAGCTTTGTTTTTGTAGTTCAGTTTTTTTCTGGATTTTCGGTTTGGCTTCCTGCCCCTTTGGCTATTTACCCATCATCCCAATAAAAGGACTTTCATTCATTCAACCGCTCCTGCCTAAGTTGTCTGGGCTTCTGCATTTTGGGTCCAGACCTCCTGCTCTCAACGTGACATTTAGACCCGCTCTCATGTTTTTTAGACCCGATTTTTTATGGTTAAGTGTTACAAAGCGGCCAATATTTTTCAACAGCTGGGCGTCGTTAAATCCATTTTACAACATTTTGATGGAAATTTCCAGAGATTAATGGTTGAAACTAAACATTGTCTCTTTAATATTACCACCAATTTCAGCTAAAATAACTTTAAAATTTTAAACGGACGACTGTGCGAAGGTTTAGACCACGTTGACATTTTGGAGATTTGAGCTGTTGAAAGACATTCTGCTGAGCTAATCGGTCCTGTAGGGACTACAAGCTATTTCTCTAAACAAAGGCCCTTCAGGATAGTATTTACAACTTTCACATAAGAATGTGCTTCATATCTGGCTGTTGTGCTACCGATATACCCCCCCCCCCCCCCCCCCCAGATACAGCAGGAGCCAGCTGTGTGTGACCCAATCACATTTCACTTCACTGCTCTGTGTGTAGCAGCAAACCTTCCAAGCTCGTGTAAAAAAGCTGTCCTTGGCCCACTTCACTGCCCAGCAAGCAAGTAATGCTTACAGTTTAATTCACACACTGCAGTTTCTGCACTGTCTGTTGCCTCTTAACATAAACGGGATAAACACGGCACTGCGTAGCACACTGTGTAAATGTTAGTGCTGTTAGCATGACGGGGTTGTTAGCTTCACACACAAACTGGGGGTTAGCGCAAAACACTCGACCGTACCCTTAACTCTGACTGTCTCACTCTGCCCTCTCACTGACATCAGGGAGGGAGCCATGCTTCTGACGGAGGACACACTGACTGATGGACGAGACACATATATCTGTGTGTGTGTGTGTGTGTGTGTGTGTGTGTGTGTGTGTGTGTGTGTGTGTGTGTGTGTGTGTGTGTGTACAGTAATTGATGATATGAAGTAAATGTGGGAGGGTTTGCACACAAATTGACAAAAAAAAGGATTACATATTATTTTCTAGGATAGATAAATATAGTTTGTTCAAATCTAAACTCATCAGCTCGTCTTACCTCATTGGTCTTGGTCTCTCCGTTCTGAGCAGGCCCATCTTCCTTCTTCCCCTTGGCGCCACCTTTCTTTCCTTTGGCCCCCTTATCATCTGCAGCCTTCTGAGCAGAACACGTGAGTACAACTGAGTGTAAACTTAAACTCTTCCTTTTCCACAATAAATTATAAAACAAACACAGGAGTTACGGCGCGGTATCAGTCGACATATTTGGATTGTTAATACCGATTTCTGCTTCTCGTCCTGCGCTCTTTTGCCAGTGCTGATTTAGGAAGTTTTTAATTTATCTTAGACTGTCATAAAACACTTTTACATTCCTGATTCACTTGAAAATTAGGATTCTAGAAGCAAAACCTTCTGCATGGAAGATCTGTTATTGATAGGGTGAATTGGCCGTGTCGAGGTCATGTTGACAACCACAGCCCCGAAAAATCTAATTTTAGAGTTTCAGATTGGCCAATCAGTGATTAAACTGATCACAATTAGCTAACTTTGGGGTATGTCTCTACTCGTGTGTGTGTGTGTGTGTTTTACCTTGACGACAGCCTTCTTGGGCTTGGCCTCAGGTTTAGGTGGAGCAGGTTTCTGCAAATTAAAGACAGAAAAAAATTAAATGACAGCTTTTGAGATATTAGTATCAGATATTATCTTTAGTTCTGTCTCCTCCCCACAGTTACTGTGTCGAATTTTGTTTAAAACATATTGCCTAGCCTTAATCTGCTGATACCGATTTTGACCAATTCCAGGTTATCTGAAAGAACTACAATCAACAGAGCGATTCTTATAAATTATTTCTGAAAATGATAATCCTAGAAACAAAACCTGTTGTCTTATTGTTCGGTGTGAAGTAGTGTTTAGCGATGATGAGTTCACAAACTGGGAAATTGTTATTGTTTTGTTATTTTTCCCCCAAATAGTAATGATGCATTCAAAGACCCAAAAAAGATCTGATTATTTGGTCTCGGGTCACCTGTTTAACCTCATCCTTATGAATATTAGCCGTAACAATCACGCATCTATATACACAGGTGCATTATAATATTTGATTGAACTCAGACCTCTGGTCCTTTAAGGACATGTTTAGAACTTATTATTGTTCAAAAATAATGTTTGAGCTTTGGTTTGTGAGGTCCATCTAATCCCAGGCAAAGCTAATCTGGAACCCAAAGCTCCGCTTGGATTTAAAAAACTGCTCTTCATCTTCAGAACCGTGTTATCAGATGTGAGTCTGAATTGCTGCGTGATGCATTCTCACCAGCTGGGTTTGGACTCCGTTACCCTGAAGCCACGAGCTTCGGCAACAAATTATGCACTTTATTATTGTGAAATTAAGACGTTATTATTATTATTGTAGTTGTTTGCGTCTTCATGTAGGTCTGTTTGTGCTGCATTATAAAAAAGTAATTATTATACACCTATACTATGTATAAAAATTACAAAAGTAAAAAAAAAATGAGACCAGGTAGGAAAGTTGTCTTTGAAGGAATCTTGGAACAGTTCTTTAACAGCTGTGTAGCTCCATCTCATTAACACCTGGTCTTTGCACTGACCCAAGTGCACGGCTCGGGTCTGTGATGATTTCAACCGCGTGGCGGCACAATGAACGCCATCAGAGTGTGAAGGTTACAGGAAGTTGTGGCCATGCAGTCACGTTCACTTTAATCACACCACGGCTCTGATAAAAAACACCTGCTGGTGTAGGGGCTGTGGAACGGTTCGAACATGGATGTACGCTTTGCAAGTACGAATCTTCTCATCAAGTCTTTGCAAGAAATAAATAAAGTCAATTATTCCCATGAGGTCGCAAAAATGATTTTAAAGTTGCACATGCAAATGTACAAATGCATGCAAAGACAGATAAATTAGACATGAACAGGCAGAGCTGCATGATACACTCTTAAGAACTTTTTACGATGCTTTTCCACCAAAGTATTGATTTATAACCACCTGTGCTTTTGCTGAGAACAACTATTTGATTTGCATGTATTAATGCTGCACCACTAATTTGCAAAATCTCCTCATATCATGCAGCTCCACAGAACACCACAACAGAGAAAAGACATGCACATCGAGCCAGACTCAGGAGCAGTTTTATGGAATTGATGAACACGGATCGCCTCGATCAAGCCCATAAAACTGCGTGTGGACTTTATGCAGGGGTAATGTGACACTATAATGAGAGGGATGAGGAATAGGTGAAGAGGTGAGGACAGAGCCAAACTTACCGCCGACAATCTCTCTGACCTTCTGGTTGGCTGCCGGAGCAAGTGATGATCAACAGGACAGAGAAATGAGAGAGATGGTGACAGAGAAGGAGATATCAGTTGTACCTTGGTGGGCTGATCTACTTGGTTACAAATGTCCTAATGATCAGCCCGACTGTTCTCTCACTCATATACATACACTGTAAGTACAAAAGAATACGCATAGCATGTTAGGAAAAGCGTACACACCTGCACACGGCACACAAGCACGAGTTAAAGCTTTACCTCATGTTTTGTGACTTTGGAGGTTTCCTTGCCCTCAGGACCCTCGGGAGACTGTTGGACATAAAATGTCAATTGTCTTCATTAAATAAGAGCCAAGCCTTAATATAATATTATATTAAGGCTTAAAATCGAAATAAAATTATATGTACTGCAAAAAGGTTGCTGTGGATAATGTGTGATTCATCTTATTGCCTGCAGCATGTTGAACATGTTTTTGAAACAATTAAGATGTGCAGTTATCATTATTGCAGTATAGAAATATCATGGGCTATTATATAGCAGCGTCAATGTCATTTTCAGTCTCATAGAATGTGAAAAAAAAGTTGAGAGGCACAAAAATACAACTAAATATGCTTAAAATCAAATCAAATAAAAAAAAATAACAGAACATTTCTCTAAATGTTTTGACAGCAAATGTAGATAGCGCTAAGTTCCAACAACAGCTTTGTAATATTTTAGGCTGAGAGAAAACATCTAAACTGTAAAAATGCAAGAGAAACAAGAATTAAAGAAATGTTAAAGCTGCTGCTAAAGAGTGCCAACCCCCCCACCTCCACCCCGGTTCCTGACAGAAGAGTGGCTGTATGGAGAGTGAAATGTCAGAAAAATCTTGAATGGCTTGAATTTTCTGAACCAAATCAGACAATATGTACAGTAATCGTTACAAAAAAAAACACTCCTGCCTAATCTAGTAGACAGACATTTATATCAAATGTATGCAATTGAAAGAACTATTAAATCTCATAAAACAAACCTTAGAGGCAGCATGAATAAAATAAAATACTGAGGGCCAAAATCACATCCATGAGGGACTCCAAAAGTTAGAGTGTCTGTTAAAGGACATTTGTCTTCTGGTGCCTTGCAAACACACTCTGAATACCAAAAATCTGCTTTGTTACACATTTTTGCAGACTAACACAAGATACACAAAGTCCTTACATGTTGTGAAACTGAACTGAATTATCCCTTAATATTACCCCAGAGAGATCATGCTGCTATAGTCATTTATGGAAGTATGAAAAAAAATCAACTACATTAAAATAGAAAAATAATTAATGAGAAATAAAAATAGTACAAATCAATAAATAAACATATTGTCATAAGATTGTGAAACAGAATAATTATTATGCAGCCTTGTTCCTAAATTTATAAAAGTAAAAAAATAAATAAATGCTAAGCACAAACAAGCTCAGGAACCAATACCAATTCACAATTGTTTACAACTTTAACTCACCAATATGAATTTGGGATAATTTAGATTTATCTCAAAGAACTATAATTAACAGAATTTAAAATTTACCAAATGTTCTGGTGACTGGAATCATCATAATCAGCAGTCGTAATCAGTAGTTGGTCAATTTTAAACCAAAACAATGATGTTTGGGGAGGTTTATAAATGCACCATTTGCCAAAGAACAAAACAATCCAGCATTTTCCCATAATTCATGCTAGGAAAAGAAGATATTCTATGTGGGAGATTTATTCCCCATAATCATACTTTTCAAGTAAATCTAAATTTGGAAACATAAGTATTCTGATAAACTGAAAGTGGCTAAAATTACCAGAATATCGGAACTATAATTAGAAATAAGCATCAGCTGCAAAAACAGAATTGGTGTTTCTCCAAACATGATCATTTATTAAATTCAACTTTGTAAATAATTAAAAAAATAATAAATAATTTTGGAAGTAAAAACGTCAAGGTCTGCTATGTGAAATGGCCATGGTGCGTTCATGGACCATGAGGGAATCACTTTTGATCTTTAGGTCAATAACCGATTTAATCCGCTTCTTCTTGAACATTGGCCAGATATTTTTGGTGCATCTCTTATTTATTTATTAAAAGGCTTGGTCTACCATAATGAGCCTACATATTCAGATGCAGGAGTGGACACAGAAGTGTGTAAGAAAATCAGAAAAATGTTGGGTTGCAGGATGGAAATGTTTTGCATGTGCCCCCCCCCCCCCCCCCCTCCCTCCGCCCCTTGAGGCCCCCACTCATTCTCTGTCCTCAAAGGAGAATCTGGTCCGACAATAGCAGATTTTAGAGGGCAGAAAAGCCGGTTTTCATGTAAGCACGGGCACAATGCACCGGAGCTCGACGGGTACTGCTGTTTAGATAGGAGCGGGGCCTCTTTTACCAGCACTAATTGTCTCTGATTCTCTTTTCTTCTTATGGATATTGTTCATTCAGCTTTGCGCCTGGATGTTTCAACACTGACTGTGCCAGAATAAAACAGGCAAGAGCCTTTTTTTTATTTTTAGTTTATTTAATCCAGAGGACAAGTCTCTGTAACTCGGACAGATTCTCATCGCGCACGTCTCCTTTGGGATTTACGCGTCCGTCCATCCTGCCAGTCCGTCTGACATTCAGCAGCGCGCGCTGGCTGGTCGGACCTAAACCCAGCACAGGAACCGCCATTGGAATGAAGTCATGAGGATTTATCTTGCCCAGAAGAATATAAATAAACAAGAAAGTCTAAATCATCTCCAAACAGCGTTTATAAGACCCGGAAACTTTCTCCTCTCACCTCACCTGCCTCGGAACGTCGCCACAGAAAATCACGCACCGCTATTTTCGTCCAAAGCGAGAGCTGGCGGAGGGAAAAAACTACAGTGAAGTGCGCCGGACGGCAGCCAGGCACGGAACTCACCTTTCTCTTCGGCATTTTTACGCGTGAATTGCTCTCCAAGGCGCAGGGAAGATTAAACTGGACGGGCCAGGGGAGGTGAATTTGAACTACCTCTGAATACTGGATGGATCAATATCTAAGCACCTCCGATATTATGTTGATTATATGCACTCCCCCAAAACTCCGTGCCTCCGTCAACCATTGGGTGGAGGGGTCAGACTCCTGCTCTGTGCCGACTCGTGATTGGCTCCTCGGGTATGTATATAAACCAGAACGTGGCTGACATTGGTGGGATTCCGCCAGCACGTCCCTGTGATTGGCTGCGCGCTCTTTGTGCGCAGATCCCGCTAGACGGTGAAGGCTGAGAGGGAAAGTGGAGGCAGGCCAATGGGAGCGAGGCCTGCTCTTTGCGGATCTGGGTAATGTAGGACGAGAGGTGGAGAGAAAGCTTTAGTAAAGCACAAAGGACCAGAAAGAACGGGCACCATGGCACAACGGCGAGCTCCAGAAGAGCAGGAGGCATTGTGTCTTATTGGCCTTGCTCTGCTGTAAAGAGCTGGAATGATCTATGCCTGCAGAAGCAATCGCCTCTACAGGAAAATGACAGGATGAGGTCATAAAATGCGTGTTTGCTTCATTTTTATAGATGTGTGGGTCAGCTTTTGACACAATAAAGGAAGTAATCATGCCAGACAGGTGCAACATGTTATAAAGAGTGATAAAAAATACGAGAATCATTCTTACTTTCACACATGTAGCAGAAATAAATACAATTCACTTCTATTGTTTGGAAACATTAGAAACCTGAAAACACATTTTTAAGGTTAAACGCACACACACACACTCACACATATTTAGGGATGGATGGCGTTTTGGAGGTTGTGTCCAAATATGTACCCTCTGGCATCTTTGACAGAGCAGAAAGTCAAAACCAAAGTTTTATTCAATTCAGTTTATTTAAATAATGCCAAATCATGACAAGAGTAATCTCAAGGCATTTCACAAAGTAAACAATCCAACAGTTCATTTTTCCAATCAGTAAATAGTTTCCTAGAAAAGGAACCTAGAAGACTGCTTCGAGTGACTCTTCAGTAATCCCCATATTTTGTCAATGTACATTTTCTAACACAATACTAAGCTACGTCAACCTCTGGTGGCGAGGTAGACACTTTACAAGCCAGTCCCGGACCTAATTACTGCCTGACCTGTAGAAGGAATAAATCTCTTCAGTAGAATCTGTCTGAGACAATGAAAAAGGCTAAAACAGGTTGTCCAGTATGGAAGGTTGTAGGTTCAGTCTCAGCGCCCGCAAGAGAATGTTGCTGTTGCGCTCTTTAGGCAAGACACTTAACCCGTTTTGCCTGCTGATGGTGGTCGGAGAGACAAATGGCGCCGGTGTTTGGTAGTCTCACTTCTGTCAGTGTGCCCAAGTGTGCTACAATGTTGCTCATCATCATCACCACTAGCGTGTGAATGGGTGGATGACTGATTGTGCTGTGAAGCTCCTTGGGGGGGTTGTACAACCCTAGGAGGCACTATACAAATACAGGCCATTAATTTACTTATGGTGCAGTCTTGGATTACTCATTGGACCAAGTAACAGTTACGAAGGCAATTTTTTATTTCATAAAAGCCATCCATGTTTCCAATGAAAAACTACTCAAAACTGCCATAAACTACATTCTCAAGCACGTCTGGCTACCCAAACAACTTTGCATGCTGATGTGACTCAATTTGTCTGGACCAACCAAAATTGTCAATATCATATTGACAATATGACAACATAACTTGTGTAATGTGTTCAGATCAATCAGTTGTTTCAGTAAATTTATACTAGTCTCATGAAAAATGATGAAAACCCAAACATTTTTATCAACTTATGAATTTTGACCAGATGCCTTGGACAGAGCAGGAAAAGTGAGCCTTTTTGGTGGAAACAAAGACATTTGATCACCCTAACAGTCAAACATGATGGTGGTAGAATGATGATATGGGACTGCTTTGCTGTTTAAAGTGACAGTGTGTATTTTTCCTGGCGATAGGAGGCAGTAGATACCTAAATCTTTGCAAGCAAGCTGAATTTTTGAGTTGGGCTAAGACCTTACCAATATTCCCATTAGGGTCAAAAAGCCCCGGAAGCGCAAACTTCAGCAAAATGACAAGCACATCAGACTCCCTTTCATCACTGGCAAAGTGAAGAGGTAAACGTGTAAAACAATAAAGTTTATGAATAGGGAAATTTTGTAACTGTTTGTTGCAAATCAGTAAATGCATTTTGTCCTCAAGGGCTTCCGTAGAAGGAAAGGCTCAGGGGGAGAGAGTTCCAGAGTCTGGGGGCCACAACAGCAGATGATCTGTCACCTTTGGTCTTTAGCCTGGTGCTGCACAACCAGTAGGCTTTGATCACTGGACCTCAGGGACCTGCTGGGGGTGTGGGGACTAAAAAGATCACCAATGTAAGATGGTGCTTGTCCATGTAAGGCCCTAGACCAGAACCAGGATCTTGAAATGAACCCTGAAGTTGACTGGCAGCCAGTGAAGCTGGAGGAGAAGCGGGGTGATGTGGGTGTGTTTGGAGGACTTGGTCAGAAGCCGAGCACAGGCGTTCTGAACCACCTGCAGACGGTTCAGGGAGGTTCTGCTCAGACACGTGAAAAGAGAGTTACAGTAGTCTAAGCGTGAGGAGATGAAGGTGTGGAGAACTGTCTCAAGATCAGAGCGAGACAGAATGAGACTCAGCTTAGCAATGTTCCTGAGATGGAAGAAGGAAGAGCGAGCAAGAGAAAATGGGAGTTAGCGAAAGAGAAAGTGGGAGTTAGTGACCTACTTCCAGGGGAGGCAGGTTTCAGATTCAAGACTAGCATCAGGGTTAGGAGAAATGCCTGATGGGCTTTTTTCTACTGGATGCAGGTCTGAAATTAATTTAGAAAAAAGTGAAGCTGAGGCAGGAAAAAGGCACGAATGCAGCCAAAAAAAGGGTTTGGGGGGTATTTCTCATGAGGAAATGACAATATCACATGGTAAAATGCTAAAATAAATAACTATGGATTTTTCATGATATGGAAACTTTAATAAATTAAATTGTAATTAAAAGTTTAATTTGCAGGAAATCTGAAAGGAGGCAAAAAACGTCTTCACAATGTTCCCCCCCCCCCCCCCCCCCCCTTCGATTGTGTTTATTGTCTACAGAAGCTCATTTTAATATTTTTGTTTAGTTCATTCAGTTTGTGATGGGCATGTTACATTAATTCCAAAGACTTGGTATTTACCCAGTATCATAAAATACTGAATTTAAAAACTCTAAATAACCAGAGAGAATCTGAGGCATCCTCTAACTGATTCATAATGCTGACAACAGAAGGATGGTTCTACCGACTTCTGAACAATGATCAAGAATGTTTTTCTTCAAAACAATGGCCGTCAGTGAGTTTCATAATGTACAAATGCATACCTCACTGCATACTGTATATCACATTGTTTTAAACACACAATGACCTCTAAAACACAATGCAACAAAACAAAACCAACAGCTACTCTCACTTATCGTCACAATAGGCAGAAAAATACACATTTTACAGCATTGTGGAGAATTCTCCTCTTAACAAACCTTCATTATTGAAGAAATGGATCTGTAGGCAACAGTGTTAGCTCTTCCGAACAGCTCAGTGAAGAAAAACACCTCCTTCTGAAGAACGTCGTTCCTCATTTTCCTCATTGATGGTTGGCTGTTCACTGCCCCCCTTGTTGGAGATCAGAGCAACAACAGCGACATCATCTGCAAACATCAGAGTAAGGCTGCTCTTTGTCACCAATTCTGTTCATAACTAGAATAACAGATTTCTAGGTGCAGCCAAGGTGTTGACGGGATTCATTTTGGTGGCCTAAGGATTGAGTCTCTGCTTTTTGCAGATGACGTGGTCCTGTTGGCTTCATCTGTGTGATCTCCGGCTCTCACTGGAGCGGTTCACAGGCGTGTGTGAAGCAGCTGGGATGAGAATCAGCTCCTCTAAATCCAAGATCGTGGTCTTGACTTGGAAAAGGGTAGAGTGCCTTCTCCAGGGCAGGGATGAGGTCCTGCCCAAGTGGAGGAGTTTAATTATCTCGGGGTCTTGTTCACGAGTGAGGGAAAGATGGAATGCGAGATTAATACGACGGTGGCACAGGAGTTAAGCGCTCGCCCTGTAATCGGAAGGTTGCAGGTTCGAGCCCCGCTCAGTCTGTAGCTGTCGTTGTGCCCTTGGGCAAGACACTTAACCCACGTTGCCTGCTGGTGGTGGTCGGAGGGACCGGTGGCGCCAGTGCTCAGCAGCCTCACCTCTGTCAGTGCGCCCCAGGGCAGCTGTGGCTACATCGTAGCTCATCCCCACCAGCGTGTGAATGTGTGTGTGAATGGGTGAATGACTGATTGTGTTGTAAAGCGCCTTGGGGGGTTCCAGGACTCTAGAAGGTGCTATATCAAATACAGGCAATTTACCATTTCATCTACCATTAATAGGCAGAGTGGTGCTGCATCTGCAGTGATGCAGATGTTGTACCAATCTGTCGTGGTAAAAAGAGAGCTGAGCCAGAAGGCAAAGTTCTCCATTTACTTGTCAATCTACGTTCCAACCCTCATCTATGGTCACGAGCTTTGGGTGGTGACCGGAAAGTATGAGATCACGGATAAAAGCGACAAAAATTGGTTTTCTCCGCAGAGTGGCTGGGCTCTCCCTTTGAGTTAAGGTGAGAAGCTCGGTCAACCGGGAGGGGCTCGGAGTAGATGCGCTGCTCTTCCACATCGAGAGGAGCCTGTTGAGGTTGCTCGGGCATCTAGTTAGGATGCCCCCTGGACGCCTCCCTGGTGAGGCTTTCTGGGCACAAACAACTGGGAGAAGACCTAAAGGGAGACCCAGGACATGCTGGAGTGACTATGTCTCTGGAACGCCTTAGGATTCCCCCGCAGGAGCTGGCCCAAGAGGCCGGGGAGAGGGAAGTCTGGGCCTCCTTGCTTAGGCTACTGCCCCTGCTACCCGACCCCGGATAAGCGGCCAAAAATAGATGGATAGAAAGTTTGTAAGTTAAAAAATGTAAGAAGAAACCTTTAAAAACAATAATGAGTTTAAAATATCGTTAAAAAATCTCTAAGATGGAAATGTTTATCAAAAAATAAGAACTAAATACTCTCTCACATAAAAGAGCTCTTTCTCTTCGCAGTCACCCGTTACACACTGATGACCTATTCCCAATTGTAATATTTTACTTTCTTCATGAATTCCTGCAGCAGCAGTTCACTGTTTCATAAAGGCCAACCTGAGAATTCAGCAAGACCAGATTTAGGTAAACCTCACCAATCAGAGGTGTCCAAAGGCCCATCACAGTGATTTTGTGCAGCCCTATACAGTAATTCAATCTGGTGATGCAAATACACACTTCTAAAGATGGAAAAGGTTTTGCAATATTTGCCCTTTTAATTTAACTTCATGGTAAAAAAAGAGCACCAATCTTCACTTGTTGCTAAGAACAAACATTTTCAAAACAAAGACACTAGAAAGCAAACTACCAAAATACAATAAAAAGATTTGTTTGCATTAAATAAATCTAACTTGTATAGTTTGTGAGTATGCTCAACAATGGCAAAGCGTTTGAACAAGTTCGTGCTGAAAACCCTCAAATTCTCACAACTGTGGTAGAGGACCTGGATTTGAAGTAAAAGGTCAAACCACAAAATCTTGTTTTCTTCATTCAAAATATTATTTAATGAGCCAGAAAATCAGAATACATCCAGTTATTTGTCCTATTTTAGTAGGCCTGTTTAGTCACAAATGAACATTCATGCCTGCAGCAATAATCTGTGTTTGGTGGATTAATTTTTGTATTTTCCCTGTTTAGCTCAATGTTCTTCGGGACATATAGAAATGACTAAAAGTCTCAAAGGTTTATCACATCAGTGTAAATAGTTAAACGGTATGGATGTGGGATGTTTTATAGATAGAATAGAATAGAATGCCTTTATTGTCACTATACAGGTGTAAAGTGAGATACAGAGCATCTCCTACTCAGTGTAACACAAACATACTTGGGGGGGACACTTCTGCAGCGCTATGTACATATGGACAGTATATTATTGCACAAGGAATTTGGTATCAATAGATAGCGGTGGTCAATGGAGGAAGTGGGAAGTGGGGGGCTGTGTTATCGGTGCACGTGTGAGTTCAGGGTGGTTATTGCTTTGGGGAAGAAATGCACCTGTAGCGCTTCCCTGAGGGAAGCAGTCTGAACATGTTGAAGCCAGGGTGGGAGCTGTCCTTGATGATGTTTGCTGCCCTACTGAGACAGCGGGAGGAATAAATGTCCATCATGGAGGGGAGAGGACAGCCGATGATCTTCTGTGCTGTCTTTACCACACTCTGAAGCCTCACTCTATCCACCTTGGTGCAGCTGCCGTACCATACCGTAATACAGTAGGTTAGCAGGCTCTCCATGGACGAGCGGTAAAAGGTCAGCAGCAGGTCGGTGTTCAGTTTGTACTTCCTGAGGACTCTCAGGAAGTGCAGCCGCTGTTGGGCCTTCTTGATGACCGCTGAGATGTTTTCTGCCCAGGAGATGTCTGGATGTATTTAATAAGAGTAAGATAATCAAAAGTGTTTCATTTTTAAATGGATCTGGGGTGTTTGGACAATTGTGTGAATTGTTCTGAATGAAAAGTTATTCTTTCAAAATTTTGCCTAAAAATGATTAAAAATGTTGCAGAGAAACAAAACCAGTGGTTTCCTAGACACAGGACTTGGGTGACACCTTGTGGACAGTTTATGCCATTACAGCCAGTGTCACCTTTTTTCTGTACAATGACATCACCGCAAACCAATATTTTCGAGGTTTTATCACCAATGAGTCCCCTTTTAATACTTTTTGATATAACTGATTTCTTTATTTGACTCATGTGAAGAAAAGTTCCATTTCCTGTACATCCATCAGTCAGGGTGACATGTTTCCTCAGATTTAGGCTCCATGCTCCTTTTACCTCTTCACTAGGTGCAGTGTTTGTTGTGTCATCCTCTTTTATTTGAGAAGTTCATTTGTAATACACACTTATGGGACAAACCACTGATATAAATGTCTTTGTGCAGCAACAGTGCTGCAGTCTGAGGCCGAACAGATTTGATTTCTGCAGCCAGTCAGGATATCAAAAAGAACATCAAGCGTCATAAAAGCATAAGAAAACAATATCGGCTAGGAAGTTTTCATCTAATTAAACAAATAGATATAGAAAGAATAACAGAAACAAATTGAACAATATTTAATATAATAAATTCGTCAACACAATTTGTTGATTTTATTTAAGAAAATGCACTGGCAAAGGTGAAATGTTTCCTGAATCATTTTTAAACTAATCATAAATCTATTTTCTGTGCTTCTGGGGTGGCAGCCATCTTTACTCTACTATATTAGTGCAACTGCAATGAAAGGATCAAGTAATAATGTCAAAATTAAACAATAAATGTTAAGGAAAAAAGTTGAAATATTATATTCAGGGGAAAAAGAGAGAAGTTGGCAATTTCAACATTAGCATATCAAGGCATGCCACATGACAGTGGTGTCCAAACTTTTCTAAACAAAACAATGAGGTTAGGCGACGGTGCGCAGGAGAATGTTTGTTAACGACTGATTGTGTTGTAAAGTGCCTTGGGGGGCTCTAAGACTTTAGAAGGCACTACATCAAATACAGGCATTTAATACTTCTTACTGACCAAAAAATGGATTTATTTTTTTATTTAGAATGCACACATATTTAATGGCGATAGTTTTGGTTTACACTCTCCAAAATAGGTTAGGAATAGGCATTTTAGTAAAAATACAAAAATGTTGCAAAGCGGGGTTTGAATCAAGAGAGAGCTCATCACCATTTTAAGGGGACACACACACATCCTGCTCTTTTACAAGACCTGACAGGGACTCTTTTGGTTTGTAGAGATACACCTCCTCTGAAGCCTGTGTGTCATTCGAACCCAGCTAGAAAAAAATCATTCTAGATTAACAACCGGCTGGAGAAACAAACTAATCATTCTACAAATGCAATTGGGGGCCATAGTCCCTATGACGGCCGCAAATGGCCCCCGGGCCTCATATTGGACATGCCTGGCCTGGAACTATGCAGCTGGAGGATATTTTTGAGTCAGTTTAACAACATAAATAATCTGGAGAAAGGTTGCAAGAGACCAAAAGAGGGTCTGGTTTTATTTTTACTTTTCCTGGATAAACCCCGTTTGCTGAGAACCCCCTCTCCCGCGCTTCATATGACGTCACTGAGAGCAGAGCAATTTGTCTGGAGGAGAAGCGTGAGGGACTGCAGCTCCTCCTCCTGCTCCCGAGTAGAAACCTGCACCTGTGGGCAGTGAACGCAACATATCCCGGTACCGGGCCTCACACACGGTCCGGTTTCTGCTTTTGATGACTGGAAGTAAACGGTACCGACACGGCGGGGTGATCTAGGCGGGACTTCCGGCTGTTTATCTCGGCGTGCCCTGACTGGACCGAGCCGTGTCTGGGTCTGATAACAAGGTAAACATGTTGACATGTCGACAGCAGCTTTTTGAATATCTCACTCTTCTCCCTTATGAAGCCGACGGAAGCGGGCTCGCTGTTATCTCCACCACCCTCTTGCTTTTATTTAATGTATTGTTTTTTTAGTAGGTTTGCTAAATAAAAACATCTAAATAAAACATTAAAACTAGAACATTTCCTCTTTAATGCTCCGGGCAGAAGGCTTAATGAGATAATTTGTTCGCTCAATAGCTGCACTGCAGTTTAGAACAGTTCCCTAATGACGTCACCATCATATACAGAGATGATGCGTTCAGGTGACAAATGCTGCTTTTAAGGTCATCCTGGACTAATCAGTTTATTACCAAGAGAAACGATGGATTAATTATTTTACCAGACAACCATTAAATGAATGAATGAATGCTTTATTAACAGACACATCGGTCCAAAACATTTAAACATTGATCGAAATACAAGAACAATAAAATGCATACAATTAAATGTATCAGTTTAAAAGAACAAATAAGAATACATAATAACATTGGCTATAAAGAAACTACATAAAAGCTCAAAATTATCAAGTAGACCAAAATGTAAATAGAGCACTAATCCAATATTTCCAGTAACAGATGTATATCTGGTGTCACTGTGTGCAGGAGAGGCTAAGGCTTTAATTTTCTCATTGTCAGAGCTATTTAATCTACACATGAATTTGTGCATGAAATTCCTCCATAGAGCGTTAAATCCAGGTGCATTACGCATTGCAAACATATGACTCGCACTAGTACATCTGGGAAGTTTGAGTAATATCCTGAATGCATCGTTATGTGCAACCTTTAACTTTCTCATCTTTTCCATCTTAAACTGGCACCATAGCTCAGTGGAGAACAGTAAGCTCTGAAGAGCTCTATCTTCACATCTTCTGTTTAGGGATGCACCGATACCGATACTGGTATCAGTTTCGGTGCCAATACCAATACCAGTATCGGTATCGGTAAAAGTTAACCGATACCAATGCAGTTGCTTGAAAATGGCTTCTCTGTAACTTGACATTTCTGTTCACCTAATATTTTAGTTTTGTGATGATTTCCAGTCATGTATTTTACTTTTTATCTACCTCACAGTCTTCTCCTGTTGAAAGCAGAGAAGAAAACAAAATCTGTATTCCAAATCATTGAATTTTTTTGTGTGGTGGAAGAATCGGTATCGGTAATCGGCATCGGCGAGTACTCAGATCCAAGTATCGGTATCGTATCGGTTTGGAAAAAAAGAGGTATCGGTGCATCCCTAATACTGTGCACATATAGAATTTTCGAGCTAGCATATTAGCTGAGGCATACATTCTACAGCATTGACACTGCACATCATCATCATCATCACATAGATCATATTTCACCTTGTGAACAAGTGATGGGAATTCCGGCTCTTTTTAGAGAGCCGGCTCTTTTGGCTCACCAAGTGGCTCCTCAGATTTTCTGTTGCGTAGAGTACATTTATAACCAAAATAATGCAAAACTATGTGTAAAATGATTTACTAATGTAAAAAAAATGCAATATATTAAATATTTATCATTCCGATGGATTTATTAACTGAACACTTTAAGAAATCTCCACTTCCCGACTGCTGGCGCTCATTTTCTCACCGTCTTTGTCGCACTCTCCTCTCTCTCTTTCGCCTTTTGCCTCCTCCTCATTTCCTCTCGTCTCCCTCCGCCCGCAGGTGCTCTGCTGTGTGTCTGAGTCTGATCCTCCCTCTTCCCCGCCCCTTCTGCTCTGTGTGTGGACAGTCTGGACACGCAGTTACACATGTTGACCAATCGCCTGTAGCTTTCACCAAAGCAAGAGGGGAGGGGGGGAGGGGACGGCTCCCAATGACGAGCCGGCTCCCGTCGTTCTCTTCAAAGAGCCGGCTCTTAGAGCCGTTCGTTCGCGACCGACACATCACTATTGTGAACTACATCCAAAACCTGATTGGCAAAGTAAGAGGAGGAGAATGTTCCTTTTTGATCATCTTTTGTTCCGATAATCATGAAAACACTCTTGTTGGGGTTGAATATAATATCGTGTTTCTCTCCATAGCAAGTGCACACCTCAAGCAGCTGCTGCAGACCAGCACTGTATGGGGAAAATACCACCATTAGAGTGAGTAAATGTCACTTATAGACCAAAGCCAAAAACTGGTGATTGTAGATAACTTATTGTTTCAACGTTTTTCCATAAAATGTCTCAATTTAGTTTAAATCAGTTGAATTTATGCAGATTTCTGCTTGGTATTTATCATCTGAAATTCAAAGGTGCAAGTTTCTCATGAAAATTGTATTTATTTTGGCAGCAGATAAAGTATTTTAGCAGTTATAAACTTGCTTGATGTGGACCTGATCTTTGCCCTTGTGGAGTTCCTGAGGGGTCATAGGATTTGTCTCCAGTTACTTGCATGTTGTGTAGAAGTGGACCGATTCTGGGTTTGAGGCCTGATTCCTTTTTGTGTATGGATCTGTACAGATCTCTAGCTTCGATGGCCAGTTTTAAAAAAATCGTGCACGTGTCCATCACCCTCTGCATGTCTATGCACACCTGCAGATGGATAAGTATGAATAGGCTTCAATGTGAGAAGACTTTTCTAATGATAATTGAACACGTTTTGGAACCAACAAAGGATTCCAGCCAGGTGCCTTTTGTTCTCATATAGCACTACAAATGACTGAACTAAGGCCCTGTCCACACGTCGCCGGGGATCTGCCAAAACGTAGATATTTTTCTACGTTTTGGCCTGTCATCCACACGAAAACGGAGTTTTTTTCACACGAAAACGGATCTTTTTAAAAACTCCGGCCAAAGTGAAGATCTGCGTTTTCTCCGTTTTGGGTGTCTGCGCGTGGACAGACAAAACCGGAGTTTTAAGGTCCACAACGTCACTTTCCGCGACAAAAAAAATGCTGACATCACGTATGCGACCTGTGTTTACACTAGCCGACAGCATGGATGCGCTCAGAGCTGCGCTCGCTTTATCAATTGTCCAAGCGCTTTCTGCTTGTTTGTTTTTGCAAGCGGAATTACTGCTCCTTGCGGAAGACCACAGACGAAGGACGAGGTTAAGAACGGGGGAAGTACTGCCGCCTACAGGTCTGGCATGTCCTTAACAACGTATTTATCCGGGTACGTGTGGACAGAGATTTTTTAAAATGAGGTGGTGTGGATGCAAGTTTTTGGAGGGGCGGATATTCGTTTTTAAAAAAACCCCGGCTACGTGTGGACTAGGCCTAAGTGTTTGTGACACTTCCTGTTGCATATGCAGTTTATTATCTTTAAGTTTTCACACAAAGTTTGTGTTTTTTAGGTCGAGTCATTTATCACCACAATGCTGAGCTGTTTAGTGCCCAGATGCTGCAGTCCTCTTCTCCACCTGTGGGCTGTACTTCTGCCTATTGTCTCCTTGGATACTCCAAATCACCATCAGGATCACGGTGTGAAGGACCGCCCCAAGCTGCTTCTCCTGTCCTTTGATGGCTTCCGTTGGGACTACATTGACCGTGTCCCGACGCCCAACTTCCGCAGAATCATGGACAAGGGGGTGAAGGTTGAGTTTGTGGAAAACACGTATATCACCAAGACCTACCCCAACCATTACAGCATGGTTACAGGGTTGTATGCCGAGACACATGGCATCGTGGCCAATGAGATGTACGACCCTGCTGTCAACAAGTCCTTCTCCATGGAGACAGACAGCATGTATGACTCCAGGTGGTGGGAGGAGGCCGTGCCACTCTGGGTGACCATTCAGAGAGACGGAGGGCGGAGTGGAGCAGCAATGTGGCCCGGGTCCGATGTCCAGATCCATGGCATGTTCCCTAATCGGTACCTCCAGTACAACGCATCAGTGTCCTTTGAACACAGAGTGCAGCAGATTGTTGAGTGGTTTTCTGCTTCTAAAGAGGAAGCAGTGGACTTTGGAGTTCTGTACTGGGAGGAGCCAGATGAGAGCGGGCACAACCTGGGTCCTCAGAGCCCACTGATGGATGCAATCATTGCAGGGATTGATGAGAAGCTCGGCTTCCTCATGAGTGAGCTGAAGAAAGCTGGGCTGGATGATAAAGTCAACCTCATTGTGACCAGTGACCATGGGATGGCCCAGCTTTCTCCTGAGAAGATCATAGAACTGGATGAGTATGTGGACAGAGAGCTGTACACCTGGGTGGACAAGAGTCCGGTGGTGGGAATCCTGCCCAAAGAAGGTAAAAACCAGTGCATTTAGAGAAAATACACAGCTAACAAGACGTTACCTGTAACAGCTGAATAAAGCTTATAGGCCAATTTATTTTAAACCTTTGAGAACAAAGGTAGGCACAATATGTGATCAAATATTACCGTTGGCACTATTGAGATGTCATTTTTTTTATGTCAGCCTGAATTTATACCCAAAAAAAAAACCCTTCATTTAAGCGAAACTCCACCATCTAAAGGCACCCATCTCCGACAAAACGTGCCTACAACAGCATCTTGGGCGAGGCAGTTGCCACCTCAGCTGTGGTAGTCCAGTGGTAACGGTGTCTGTCTGCCTGGCATCTTGGTTTTGCCATGTGCTGACATGGGTTTGAATCCCAGTGGTGTCAGCAGTAATTTATTTAGCCAGCTGAAGCAGATTTCATGGTTTTATATTTTAGTTTTATTGATTATTTTCAGCAAAATATTTTGTGTCTCTAAAGATCTTTGAAATCGGTCGTTGCATTTTAGTTCTTTTACTCTGCTTACCTCACATGGACTCACACTGGCTAAATAAACAAAGAAAGTAAAAATACAAACAAAAAGCAGATTAGTCAATTTTAAACGGTTTACTAATAAAAGATTGAAAATATCGTAGCAGCTAACACGTAAGAAAAAGGTTACTGCTAAGGCCGGGGTGTGAACGTGCACAAAACTACGCTAACCCAGCCCAACACTTACCATTTACTATCAAGTCTGCAACCAGACATTTGTCACCTCACCTGTAAAACTCAAAATTTGCAGCTGAAAAAGAAAATGCACAAATGCAACCGAAAATGGGGTTGGAGTTTTTTTTTATGATGGAATAACAACATCACATAGTAAAAAACTCCAAAAGTGGATTTTCCATGATATGGCCCCTTTAATAGATACATTCACTGCAAAAATAAAGTTTTTATAGAAAGGATCTGATCTTTACCCATTTCAAAAAGTATTCAAATTAAATTTCAAGTGTACAAAGACAC